CTTTGAGTTAATAGTTAGAATCCACTCTTCTATGATTTTTTTTATTAGTTGCTCAAAACATTACAATGATCTTGACATATCATAAATTTGATTCAAATGGGGTATGAATTCTTATTTTTCCACATTTGCAGATTGCAGGATCACATTGGTTATACAGCCACATTTATACATACAACCATATTAGTGTCTGTTGTATTCTGCTGCCCTTCCTATCCCCACCCTCCCCTCCCCTCCGCTCTGGTCACCTCTCTCTACCTCATCTACTGTAACACATTTCTCTCTCTCTTTGAAATTTTGATTATAAAGACAAATTACCACAGTCACAATTTACTTTCTTTTCCCCCAACAAATATAACAAAGAGCTTAAAATCCTATGAAACTCAGTAAAGCATTTTTGATTCCCCACTCCCAGTGATCTTAAAGAATGAACATGGTTTTCTTCAACTCCGTTTAATTTTGACAACTGAAAATCACATAATTGGTTTTATTCAAATATGAGCATGGTATTTTCTGTAACTTTACTCAATCTTTTAGGTAAGAGCCTAATGGGTGAATTACTTATTTCTACAGTCTAAGAGACAGGTTAGGGGCCAGCCAGGAGCTGGCCCAGGACTTTAGCCATGAAATAACTTTGTGGCTTTGGCAAATTGTCAGTCTCTCAGTATCTCGTATCCTCAGACTGGAATGGGATGACAATGTCCACCTCACAGGGTGGCAGTGACAATGAAATGAGATAATTCTCCAACAGCCATTATACCAATGCTTTGTTCATTATGAATACTCAGTGAATATTATCTATTCTTGAAATTTTATTTGCAAATCTAATTGTTTTTCTTTGCCCACATTTATCGGTGGAATGTTTTTGTAATATTCACTATATTATAGAAAACAGGTATTTTACTTTTTTACTTTTAATATTTTTATATTAAAATTTTCTATTACCACTTTTTATCATGTGGCATCTCCTATGTGGTTTTGATTCTTTTTTTAAAGGTAAATTTTGTATACAATCAAATAAGCAGTTCTCATATGAAAAATTGATGAGTTGTAACAGATCAGTATACTTCAGTGATCCACATATCTACCAAGATAGAGTATTTTCATAATCACAGAAATTTCTCTCTCTCGTGCTCCCCTCTCTGCTGCTCATTTTTCTCTGCTATCCTCCCAATATGATTTCTTTTTTTTTCTTTTGCTATTGATTAGTTTTATCAGTTCTAAAACTTCAGCTAAATAGCAAGTCTATGTTTAGTTGTAGGGGGAACCACTGAAACAAAACTTTTCAGTTTTACACTCCTATTAACAATGTTTGTAAATTAAAAAAATATTTCCACATACTGATGCTATATGATATTGCCAATACTTCTTTAAAAACTTGCATATGGTCCTATTTTGTTGTAACATTTATTGGTATTTACTTAAAGACTGATGATGTCTGGTACTTTTCAAAAGTTTACTGGACACTTGTGCATCTTCTTTGTGAGTGGTATCTGTTATTTTAGACTTTATAATTTTGTTATTATTCATTTGTTTCAGTTTTTGTTATTTTGTTATTGATTTGTTTCTGTGTACATATATTCTGGATAGAAGACATTTTCTCAGATATATTTTGTGAATATTTTATAGCTTGCCTTTGATAAGCAGAATTTTGTTTTAATTTTGCTGACATAGAGTTTAAAAAACTTTCACAGTTGTAGTTCTTCTGTGCCCTGCTTATGAAATCTTTGCTTATTCTAGGGTTATAAGGATATTCCAGGTTTTATCCCAGATGTTTTAGCTTTTATTTTTAGGCAGATCATCCAACTTGAGATAGTTTTTGTGGATGTTGTGGGGTAAAGACTGATGTTCAGTTTTTTCTATATAGCTATGAAGTTGTTATAACACCGTTGCCTGTCTTTACTGATTCACATGTGTTTCTCATAAAAGTCAAAGGCTAACTAAAGGTAAATTGTAGCAGATTGTATTTTATATAGATATCCACAACAATCTCTTAAAGGTCACTTCTCTTTGCATATATGACTTGAAAAGTACAGGCTCCATGTTCTCCTCTTGAACTACAATGTTAATTTCAATCAATAGAGTATCCTGGAAGAAATGCCACATGGATTCTGAAGGTAGCTCTGAAAACTCAACCTACAATTCCCTTGTTGTTTGTTGAAACAAATGTACTTGAGGTCCTGGGAAGTTCTTAAGGAAGTTTAAACTGCCCATGTAGAGATAATCCTTCCAAGAAATCCTGAGGTTAATTGAAGAATGAGATGCAACTAACTAGACAACTATCATCCCACTACACCTATGTTTGAAAGTACACAGCAGAACCACCCAGTTGAATTCTTCTCAAAGACTTGACCTACAGAAATGGAAATTGATAATAATTTTTTAAAGCACTGAATTCTATGGTGGTTTGGTATACATCAATAGATATCCAAATTTTATTTTCATTTTAAGAGTGGGGCACTAACATAACAGAAACCTAAGACATGTGGTTTTGAAGATTCGTTTCATACAACAAGACCTCTAAGAATCTTAAAAATACCATCACAATGTAGTCATGAAGAGAGCACAAGGAACAGAAGAGCATTTCTCAAAGAGCTTTGTAGTTATGATTTTGGTTAAGAGCATATTATAAATGGATGTATAAGATGCCCATAAGAGTACTTTACACCGCACGAGCTCAATTTATCTCTGGTTATACTGAATTTTGTTCTGCAATCTAAAATCTTAAATGTGTGCAGTAAACTTTAAATTTCAGAAATGTTTTTCATCCCCAGTATTTCCATTTAGTTTCTGTTTTTTTTCTAGTAGTTTTAGTTTCTTTTCTGAGATTCCATGTTAACTAGTTTTGATATCATTTTCCTTTAAGTTCTTGAAAATATAACAGACATTTTAAAGTCCCTCTCTGCTAATGTAAACATTTATATCATCTCAAGTGATCTTCCACTACCTGTATACTTTCCTTGTATATTAAATTATTAAATTTTCTTGTTTCTTAGTATTTCTAGTATGTTTTTATTGTACCTGAACATGGTAGACATTAAATTGTTGGGGATCTAGTTGTTTTGAAAATATTTAATTTAATGGCAACTCAGTATGATCATTTTGAGGCTTATTTTTAAATATTTTGTTTTAAGGCTGGCCTAGTATATTCTTTACTTTGGGAAAGAATATCTCAGTTCTTAAAATGTGACCTTTCAGCAGCCACCTGGGTGTCAATGTGTTTGGTGAAGTCTTTTTGTTCTAGTTGGTCAGAGATTCTGTATTCCAGTACTCTTGGACCTTTAATATCTTACATTAGCTCACTAATACTCTGTTTGCCCTAAACCTTTGAGTCTCACATTTGGGTGGGTAATTCCTGCTACCTATTGTTCAATATCTAAAACTGGTTGCTTCATGTAATTTGTTCAGATGTATAATTGCTCATGGCAGATGATATAATGCATTACTAGTTACTCTATCATGCTCAAAATCTTTGATCTTGTTTTTTATTTGTAGTCTGTGTCTCATAGATGTTGTTTTAGTCAGCTTAGTTAACTAAGAGAAAATAATTTTAGAGGAATGAATTGAATACATCTATGAATAAGAAATGGATAATACTCATGTGTATCTTTCAACTAATGATAATACAAAATATTAATAAATTATATTTCATAATGAGATCAATGTTTTTAGATAAAAATCTCATCCTAGATTGCCAATATACTCCTAATTTAAAAGAATTTTAAACATATAAGTCTAAAAACAAAAAAAATTTCAACTCTTTAATATAGGAGATGTAAATTACAAAGCAAATAGCAACATAGTAAATGTGTAATGGATAGAATGTGCTTATTTCATTTCTCTTACATTTGATATATAATTGTCTTTTATCATATATATTTAATTTGGACTGAAAAAATGTCATCACAAAGATCAGAAAACATTAAGATAATCAGCATAATTTTTACCAGAATTCAAAATAAAGAAGCTGGATTCTCCCTACACACTTTTGGTTATTTGAGGTATTAATGAAACTCAGTGCATATCATAGAAAAGTAAGCCAAGGAAACAAAATTTTTGGACATGAAACTTTGGGGAAAAGCTACATATAGATGAACATATCCACACAATGACCAACTATCATACTTATAAGTTACTTGTTGATGTCAAATGTTTAAAAACAATTAGCTTTCACTTGGTATTTTATATCCTTATATTTTATGCCTATGTCATTGCTCATTTAATTTCAAAATATGTATGTATGCTTGAGATCTTAAATTTATCAGAGAGTATTAAAAATTTCCTGAAGAAATCTATTTTAAAAGTTTCTAATAATAATTACATGAAATTGGTTAACATTTTCTAGTTTTAGACATTGTTTTAATGCAAAACTGATTACAACTTGTAGAACAAATGTGGCTAAAAAGTGTGCTAAAACTTTAGCATTCTTTTTCTTCACAAAATGAACATTTGGGCTTTGTGTTTATATTAATACTCTTATTAACTGAGTCAACACTATAAACATTTCAAATAAGTTGTTTTAGTCAGCTTTTTCACTGCTGTGATTTAGGGAAGAAAAGTTTATTTAAAGGCTCACGGTTTCAAAGGTCTTAGTCCACTGAAGGTAGTCTCCATTTTTCAGGGTTTGAGTGGAAGAGTGTGGCAGAAAGAAGCAGCTCACATGATGAGCAGGAAGCAGAGAGAGAGAGACTCCACTCTCCAGATACAAAATAAATACTCCATAGCCACGCCTCCAATGAACCACTTAATCTAGCCACAACCCACCTGCACCCAGTTACCACTCAGTTAATGCCAGCAGGGATTAATTCACTGATTAAGTTAAAGCTATAATGCAATAATTTCTCTTCCAAAACTTCTTGCATTGTTTAATACATGAGCTTTGGTGGACACCACATCTAAACCGTAACAGAAGTCAATATGCATTTCTTAATAAAAGAAATACAATAATTACAGAGGACATTCGGAAATATTAATGAAGAATGTAAAAATATTTACATATTTACCTTTGTAGCTTAGCTTGAGTCGTGGAATATTTTGTTTAGAAGTTCCAATGACTGGAAGAAATAGCACAGTCATGCTTAGCATCATCAAAGCATGAAAAAGGTGAAAACTGTGGCTTCTGAACTTTGGTCGATCATCTTTAGTGGCATCCATGATGAAAAACAATGCTCTTTTTTCAATACTAGTGGACTCTAAAAGAAAAAAAATTATGAGAGTTGTGGGGTTTTTTTGCAGATTTTTCTAGATATACTGTATGATAATTTTCTAAATGTACATAGAATTTTTTAAAAAATAATTTCTCTCTTCCTATTTGTTCTTAGTGAAGTTTTCAAGAAAATATGAATCCAAAACTGAGTAATAAATTCAGAATTGTCTTTATTTCAATGTAGAAATGAATACACTACTAGAAATCAAACTATTTTTTAATTACCATCTCTACAAAAGTTATTTTTTAATTGTAAATACCTGAGTATTTTTTAACATAACTTGATTTCTTTTATCAGATGAAAACACTAATAGACGTCTACTTGTATTCCATATCATCCCCAAAGGAAAGATTTTCAAACAAAAACAGACACACGCTATTATTTTGAGAGAGTTATTCTTTTACTTCTGACATTAAGTCTACTTAAATTCGTGGAGATCAGATGAAATCAGGTCAGGTCCTCCAGTACAGAGTGTAGGCCTAGAACATACCATCTATTATTTTCTGTTTAGGGTAGCCCTGAATAGAAAAATAAGTTATAAAGTGTAAAGGTTAATAAAAGGGAGGAGGTGGTTATTAACTACACTGCTATAAATAAATGACTTGACTATCTTTGTAAAAAATTGGAGAAAATTAAAAGACACATTTCAAGCTAAACCTGTTATTAAAAATTACAAATAATATTTATTGAAATATACATATCAGATATTTTTAAAGTAGTTGCAGACTAAATGGCATAATGCTATTGACAAGCATAGAATAAGTAGTTATTTACCACATTTCACAGTTGAGAAAACTGACTCCCAAAGCTAAATATTTCTTCCAAGTTCGCATGGCAAGTAAGACAATGGAAATATTTGATCAGGACTTTAGATCAAATATTAAACTTTTCTTAAGACCTATAAATCTGGTGTTTTCATTATGGTAGGGTCAATTGACCTTGAATTACTGATAGAATCTTCAACCTCTCTTCCTGCCTTAATGTACTGCTTTTCTTTCTAGGAAATAGCCCATGGAAAGGATCTTGCTATACTGAGTTCTAGGGAGGATTTTGCATGTGGTACCTGCTTTAATGTCTGAATATTTTTTGTACCTTCCTTTCTGATAGCATTAGTCATAATAAATAGATACTAGACTTTAAATAATTTTCTAAATATTTAATATTCAAAATAAGAATTTCATGAGTATTCTTTTAAGACATCTCATAAAGGCTGAATTTTCATTAAGAGAAATTCTCCACTTTACTATAATGATTCAGAGACTTTGAACATCAAGGTTCCAGTTACATATTACAAGTGAAAAATCATCTCACAAAGTAAAAAAAAAAGATAAAATTTGAGGTGTACTAATTTATGTTTATGAATGGCAAGCATTTAAGGATAGATAAATCTTACATTAAATTGCTTCATGAAATATTAAGCATGAGTGCTTTCCCCAATTATTTTTATTATTTTCAACCGTATCTATGGAAGTATCAAATTATTTTGTAACATGTAATTATTTAATTCTTCCTATAGATTTCTGCAGATAGTTTATTTTTATACTAATTTAAGAATATTTTATTAAAATATTAAATATATAAAATATTAAAATAAAAATATTTTATTCACATTTACTAGAGATTTCTTGAAGTTTTCACCCATTAGTTGAAATTTGAGAGACAATAAGAATTTCCTTCCAATCAAAAAGATCTATACACAGCTGTCCTTTATAAATATTTTAGTTTTAAAACTTGAATTATATGCATTTTAATATAATACACGAACAAAATCCTTAAATAACATATTTGAAACATTTTTAAAAAGTAGTAGGAAAACATGTTTAATCTATTGCCACAAAAAGGGGCACTTTAGTTGATGTATAATTGATCTTTTTTCTATAGAAAAAAGTTATCAGATTAGACTTGAATCATGTTTTGAATTACTCAATGTCTTAAGAAATGTATCCTGGCAACTTTTGTTTGACTTGACATCACTAAAAGTAGATGTATTCCTTGACTTATAGATTCTTCTTAAAAATTTGCTGCTTTTGGACAATTGCCATCACAAATGTTATACATTTGCATCTTAACATATACGTTTACATCACTGGTCATGATATTTGAATATACATACATGTATGGTTGTATGTATTATACAATTCTTATCAGTCATTAACACCATAAGTAATCCTCCACTATTTATTAAGGTTAAAAAAAGAGATAAGGATTGTTACTGAGGGAATAATTAATTATACAGAAATAACTTCAGTATGATAAAATAATTCTAAAATTGAGACATTTATGAGACACTCTGAAAGAGAACTTACTAAGATGATAATATTTCATGGAAGACAGAGAAAACCAGAAAGAGAGTTCCAGAAACAGTGATACTTGGCTAAGGGTTCTGAAAAGGCTAGGCAGGCAGCATCATGGACTTGGTGAAAGGCTATAAGGAGAAGGAAGGGAGAGGAAAGCACAATCCAATGTGGGGTGGGAGAAAGAGGACACCAAAGAGCAACTTAAGCTAACTCTTGAATTTGCCTCATGCCTCTTTAGGTACCCAAAATATTATGACTCAAAACAACACATTACTTTTTACTGCCATTGTTATTTGATCATGTGTGCTGGTTCCACATTCATCAGGGCTTCTCTAATCTTATTTTCCTGTTCCTTTCACTTTTACCTATTTCATCATGTTATCAGAACACTGATGTCCGACTGCAGCAGACCCTTAGCTTTGACATACAAGCATGCATTCTCCTCCCTGCCCATACTCTCTGAAAACAGTGAAAGTTAAATTGAATCCCAAGACTGAGTATATTCAATTTCTCATTAGGTAGTTTTTCTGATCATTGGACCTGCAAAATATATTACTTTTGTTCTATGATTTGTAACAACGTATATGTGAAGACATTTATGTGCATAGGCAAAAAAAAGGACTTTCCATATGTGCATTTTATTAGTAATAATGACCTCAGTACAGGACATTTCCTGGAAATTAATGATTAGTTTGGGTTAATGGCCCTTTGCTACGTATTGAGATATCTACTCCTCCAACTGGTCATTAATCGCTAAGACATGCCCTGTGCCTCTAACATCGTAAGTTAAAAAGATTGATATTTTGGTTTGCAATGAACAGTAGTCTTACTGTCCACTATAACCCAACTTATTAATATTGTTAAATAAGTTAAAAATCAAAGCACTGGTTTCTTCACTAGTCTGACATTCTGATAAGTGCTTGCACATGTGGAAACACATATGAAGAGGAGGGACCAAAACTAAGCAAAGATCTTGAAAGTACAATAACTTTTTAAAAAACTTTGAATATTTTTCTGCTATAAAACAGTCACTTTCTACAATCTGCTCGCCCTGATTCTTTGTTTTTCTTCCCAACAATCCTTTGAATCCAATAGTTAATCTTTTAATTGAGATAATTTATGTGTTAAATGTCTTGCCAACAACCTTTGTACTAATGTATTGATATTTTGCTCTCTCTCTCTCTCTCTCTCTCTCTCTCTCTCTCTCTCTCTTTCTGTGTGTGTGTGTGTGTGTACATGCACATGTGTTCTGTGTGTACATACAGGAGCATGCATCCTACATCTGGGAAGAATTATGAAGAGAAGTAGGTGTGATTTACCCAAAGTGGGTAGATTTAGGGAATTGCATAGGTTATACTGAATGCTACTGTCTGTAACAAGCTCGACCTGGAGCCAATTAACTGCATATAATCTATTCCAGATGTTCACTGGGACAAACAGCACTCTTGGGGATCTTCAGATGTGGAGCCAATAGGGAGTGTTCTGATTATGAGAGTTTACACACTGTTCCACTAAATCAGAACTCCAAATGCACAATCTAACACTCAGGAAGACCTTGTGCCATTTCCCTAAGGAGCAGAAAGAGAAAAGAACTTATTACATGGATAATAACTCACCAAAAAATTTATTTGAGGAGCAAGAGATATAAAATTTTATATGTGAACTTCATTGATGTACTCAATTTATTTCTATTGATTTATTCCAAAAGTCGGCAGGACAAGATGATGTACTATTCATGTGGAAAAACAGCTTCTATCCTTGGGACAATCATTAAAATATATATTTCTTCACAAAACCTGGAATTCTTAGATTTAGGATTTATTCTCAGGTGTGTGTGTGTGTGTGTGTGTGTGTGTGTGTGTGTACACTAAGGAAGGAATCATCACACTTCATACCTAAGTGGTGCATGTAAGGTCACTTAAGTTTTCTGCCCAACTCAAAAGACATAAGGTAATACGACTACTTGCAAATTAAAAGCAATATCTGTATAAACTCCCTTTGGCCAAATTGCAGCTCATAATTTGGAGCTTTTGTTTGGTTAGATGGTTTTCCTGTAGAGTACACAAGATTGATCAATTATTGGCACCATTACTTTATGGCATGGTTGTTGATGACAAAACAAACAGCAATTATAGAAGAAACTTGAGAGCCAAAGAGGCAATAGACACAAACAAATGGGAAAGTTTATGGTTGCAGAGGGCTATTATACATCCAATTAGTTGCGTGCAATAATATCAAAGCAGGAAGCCAGTGGTATGCCAAAAGAACCACTGGGATGGAGCTGGGAACACCAGAACTATCATTCAAATTATCTTTATCTTATCCTTTCTAAATTTTTTTATTTTCTAATATATCCTACTACTTTTGTATAGTCAGTGGTATTCAATCATTGCTTGAGTATATATTGCTAAGAGTAATAAGTAGAATTTACAAGGCAGTAAACTTTTTGTTGAAGTATTTAATTGTCTATTAATAGATTTCATTGTCTCCAAAGTGTCATGACTTCCCCTCAGTTGATGTATTCCAGTAGAGTCTGGAAGACCATCTGACTCTTTCAGAGATCATGAAGAGGAGACTTACAAATGTTAATCTACTTGCTAACATCCTTATGATAACAGTCAGTGACATTACCCCACACTCCAAACTAAGTATGAACATCATCAGTTGTGGAGCTGAGCTAAACTATTT